AAACCTCTATAATAAATAGGTTTTATATTTGTTTTAATTAAGCCACGTATTAATGAACGAAGTTTATTAACATATATTCAATCAATATCATCAAAATTAGCACTGAGTAAATTAAAATTTGTTTTCATATAACGTTCATTTGTTTGACTATTAGTATATGATTTTAAAACATATAACATATCATTCGTTAACTCATGTTCACTAATGTTATTTGGATAAACTTCTTGAAAAAAAGGATAATATCAATTTTTTGTTAAAAGTTTACAATCAAGTAAATTAGTTTGAGGATTATAATAAAAATGTTCTATATCATAATTTTATGTTGTAGTTGCTAGCTGTTTTGGTAAATAACGATTACTACGATACAATACAAGACGTCATTTTGTCACCTAAACAGAAATAAGATATTTAAGAAAAAAGTAGATTATGCGTTGTATTCAGGTACTTACGCCATGCTCAGATAAGAACTAGAATGATGAGTCATTTTTTGTTGTCATAGACTTCATGAGTCATCAGTGAAAGCATTTAATCAATGCTTTGCATTCAATAAAGTATATTATATATGAATGACAATCAGTGAAGTAGTTTAGAAAAATAATATAGTATAATCAAGAAGAAGCTATTTACCTATAAGCTATGCAAAGAACCAAAAGACAAAAAATAATCTAGGTGGCAGTTTTCCAAGTAAAATATAATCTAAATACTTCGTCTACTCAAACATGCGCAAAATCATTGACTACTAGATTAACTTTGAAATAGTGTTGAAACTAAATAAAATTAATTACTATATAAAACGTATTATACGGTGAGAGGAAACAGACAGTTTAAAATCATTTATTGTATTAATATGAAATACAAATCATACTAAATAAATGAAAAATAAATCAATTCTTATATCAACTTTTACTAAATACATATTTGCTGATTATTGATGACACCCGAATCGAAAGTAATATTGGTGTTAATAGTCATAATTGTGGATACATACATGAATACTTTTTTCATCACAATAATACATTGTTCACATTTTTGATAATTCATTTTCCTCTCCATGTATTAAGTTACTTCGTCTGTAATCTATTCTCAACTATAATAAATTGCTCAGTAATGATCAAACTGTTTTTTTTTTGCTTCTGTATTTTTATATAAATAGCAATTTGAAACAGTAAAAATATTTAGAAACTTTGAAATCTAATTAATCAACGAGTACCTGACCGAATTGCACGACACTACCTCTTGAACATAAAAGAAATTTATTAGAATGAAATATACTTTTATCAATAAAATAATAAGATTTCGAAATAGTTTATTGTTCATTTCATTTCAACACTCGTAGTCGAATCGATGACTACTATTTGTGGAGTGATTGAATTGTTTTGGATACAACACATTTTACGTAAAATAAATATATAAATAGCCATCATTGCTGGTATAACATGACGAAATGTTTTCATTAATCCTCCATATAAACCAAGAATATTCGTACAGATAAACAGAGCACTATTTCGTTTAATAATCGTATATGTACAGAATGTTGGTTGACATTGAGAATAAAATGATGTATAAGATATATTTGCTTTCCATGATTCACTTTCTACAAAGAGATTATTTACGAGTTCATTGATAGTCATATTTGGAAAAAATCCACTATAAATTGTTGAATCAAGAGCATTAAAAATTGTTTTATTGATAGAAGTATTATTCAAATACGTTATAAGTGTATTAACACATGTTTGATTATGAAAACATTCGAGTGTTGAACGAAGAAGAGATTCAATTGGTAAACAACCAAGAACAAGACCTGGAATATTGAATCGAGTACTGTTTGATAAATAGATAGCTGCAGATTCAACACATTCATTTGATATAGCACATGAACAATTGAATCCATGAGACAAAGGTTTTGTATTAAATCGATTCCAAATAGATGATCCAGGAGTAAATATCCAATTAGTTGTATAAATCGATATTATTTGATTTCCTTGTATTGTATCACGAAAAAGTTGAAGTGTACGTATAAATGTAGTTGATATTGATGTACGAAAATCATTTAACGTTGTTTGTAATTGTGCTTCAAACGTTTTTGAAGATATCAGTTGTGTACTAATAAATTCATTTTGACCAAAATTATTTAATTCATTAATAAGAATATGATTGACTAATGTACAAAGTGAAGCAAGTTGTTTAAAATAAGCAAAACTACGAATACGAAAATCACGTTGATCATAAATTGACCAATTACCATCACCAAATGTTAAATCAAGCCATGATAACGATACAAAATCACTTTGACATATTCGATGTAAATCAAATTTAATTGTTATTAATGTTTGATAAGGAATTGAGATACGTAAACAAGGACATTGAATACGGGTATTTGGATAATTAATTAAAAGATTTTCGTATGTTGATTGAAGAGGAGATTTAATAGTTATTGTTTTTGTTTCATAAGATACACATATATATATAAGAAGAGCAAATGTTGAAGTAAAAAGACAAATGAGATATAAACGAGTTGATGTTCGTTCATATTGTATTGTTGATCTATCGCTTGATTGATGAGTAAAAAGATTCAATCGAAGAAAAGATTGATAAATATTATTCAGTATAACATAAAATCGATGTCGTATGCTGAAGATAACTTTAAAAAAGAAGAATTTTTTTTTTTCGATTAAAAGAGATTAAACAAAAAAAGAAACAAAATTCAAATATTTTACCATTTTCTCTATTTTGAATTTGTTTTATTGAAATAATTTTCACAGCTGTCTTCACAACAAATGGTGTAAGAATGTATAAAGCCATATTTAAACCTCCAAAAAGTGCAATAACACAGCTAATTACATAGAATACATGATTATGATCTGCATATGTATAAGTACATAAAATTGGTGCACATTCAACAAAAAAATTATCATCTGATATTGAAGCTTCCCATTTGTCAAGCATTAAATTATCAATAATTTCTTGAATTGTTGTGTTTGATTGAAAATTAATAGGTAAATTCAGAGGTCTTATATTGAGTGTTATCGGATTTGAATCACTAACAAAATAAGATTTTACTTTTCCAATACAATTTTCATCATACCAACATTCAAGTGTTGATTGCATAAGAGAATCAATTGGTGTACAACTTATATTAATACCTGGCGTAGTCCATAAACGTCCTATTGGAATGATAGATGGATAATTATATTGAAATTGACCTGCTTCTGTAGAACAATAAGAATTATAAATACACGAACAAGTTGTTGTTTTATTATTAGCAAAACCAAGAAATAATGTAGGATCAAAACGTACTAATGATAATCTATTAATAATTGTTAGCTTGTATGAAGATTGATAGACAGACATTAACTGAGAAGTAGATGATATTTCACGAAGTATTTCAAGAGTATTTATAAATTGATTACGTGTATGATTGATATAATAGTTAACAATAATATGTGCACGATTATTAAATATTCGACGAGATGGTGTTATAGTCGTAATCCATTCTGTAGCATCAAAAACTCTTTGTGCATTAATTACTGTCGAATTTGATAATGAACAAAATGTATTTAATAATTGAAAATACCATGTACTAACAGAATTTAATTCAAGTGATGAAGAAATCCATGAAAAACGAGTAAAAATTTCATAAAAATTTGGTGATATTAATTCACTTGTACAAATAGGATGATAAACTTTTTCAAAATGTATAAAATATTGATGAGCAATAGCAATATTTGAACATGGACATTCAAGTAATTCTCCATAGATTTGTTCAAGTTGTTCAAATGTTTTTAAATTAGGATTTAAAATAGTTTTTGTTTGCGTTTGTTTTCCTATTGCATTATAAATAATAAGAATTATAAGTGAAATTGATAAGAAAATCACGTAAATATAAGTAGTTAAATGTACATGATTTCGAATTAAATTACGATGTGGTGCTTGCTCAAATAAATCCAATGTAATTATTTTTGTCCAAATCCAAGTCATATATGTACGAAGATGAATTCTCATTCTTGTTTGATTTGTTAAATTTGTCATCGAATTGTTATTATCTATAATTGGAAAAACAAATGTTTATTTTAGGAAATTCAATAAAATTTACTCATTACTTTGATTGTTGTTATTTCCTTCAATTAATTGTTGAATATAACGAAATGAACGAGTTATACTATGTATCATTTGAATTATAAATGGTATTAAAAATCGAAGACCAACAATAAGTCCACCGATAAAACCTAACATTGTATTAAAAATATAGAAGAGACTATATTTTGAAGTAATTGACATATATGTGCAATGAGTTGGTTGACATTTATTAAAAAAATTCGTGTAATTAATAGATGTTGTCCATGTTTCAATAAATAAATTATTGAGAAGTATTTCAATAGTTGAAGATATATTGAATCGACTTTGTATTGTTTGATTTAATGGTAAAAACAATAGATCAGATGTATTAGATATTTTCAACAAGACACGAATACAATTTTCATTAAAATAACATTCAAGTGTTGAACTTAATAATGATTCAATTGGTAAGCAACCAACTTTAGTACCAATTATGTATGAAAAATTTGTTAAATAATTTATATTAGTATGTAATATGGGAATCTCCCATTCATAAATAGCAGCACTCAAAAGACATTGAGATGTCCAATCCCGACAAAAACATTGTACCGTAGAATTATCATCAATATAAGCATTATCTATCATTACACCTTGATAACCACTGCCTAAGTATTGAGATTCTGCATAGAAATTAGTACCTAAACCTGATACTAATTGATTACCAAAAGTTGTTCGTCGAATTGCTAGAAGTGGAAGTAAAAAAGATGATATTGATGATGTACTCTGTATTAATTCTAGTGAACTATTAACTTGAATATGCACAGATGATTCAGACATTAAACGAGCAGCAATAAGTGAAGACGAACCAAATTTTACCATACTATCATATACGATCACTTGTGAAAGTAAACAAAATGAACGAAGTAATTGAGCATATGCACTTAATGATCGTCGTATATCCATTGGATATATGTATGAAAGATTTGTAGGATATGTTTGTTTGATCCATAATTCTGATACGAAATCACTTGAACATATCTGTTTAATAAAAGATGAATATTAATTCTCGAATTTCGACATGAAAATTGCCTACCTGATGAAATGAAGCTTCTGTTGTTACAAACGATCGATATTCAACAGCAATATATGAACAAGGACAATCAATTGTACTATCAGAATCTGCAATAATTAATTTTTCATAATCAAATATTGAAGGCCAATTTATTGTGAACATAATCATTTGTTTAGCTAAGACCATATAAAGAAATATTGTAACTATACCTATATTAAGTAATATTAAATATAAACGTGTTGAAAGACGTTCATTATAAAGTGTGTTTTCATTGCTGTTCAATGTACGAAATAGATTTAGCTCAGTAAGATGTCGAGCAATATTCTTCAGACTAAACATTTGTCTTCTTCAGTTTGTGTAATAGAACCAAACATCTATGACTTTTTTTTTTACTTCATAGAACTCATAAACATATTATATTAAAAGCAATATATAATGAAAATGCTTTCTTCTTTCTTTGAATTATCTCAATTGTTAGTGTAGAGATGTTCAAATATTCTTAAAACTCACATATATCATCTGTTGAGTATGACAACTGGGGATAACTGCGAGAATATAATTGAAGAGAAAGTGAAGTCTCTTGGAAAATTTATATTAATTAAAATTACAAAAGCGACTGGATGTATTCACAAGAAAGTCTTACACGTATACATATATACAATCAATATCAAAATTATTTCACGACTTTTTTGTGAGAATTACTATGCATCTGTTCTAAATTAAAATTTTCTTTATGATAAATAATTCAATAGAATAAACTGTGTCTGACGTATGGGATACTTTGTTATTGTAGCTTTTCTTTGAGTTTAAGTATGAAAACAATTTTTTTTCTGACGTATAAAGGAAGTTGACAACAATAAGGCGACAACAGATGATTTCTTCTTATATGATGTTTAGCCAATTTATTGTTCAATATGTGATTAAGAAGAGCACTACACATTGGAATTGTGGTACAAAAAAAAAATTGTTTTTAAAAGTGTGGATTTCTAAAGAATCGTTTTCTGTACAAAACTCTTATAGTTGAAACCAAAACCGATCATATCTCACTTAAGTTATATACTTTTGTTACATCATAAATAATAGAAGTAAAAAACACTTGCCGTAGTCTCAGCAATAGCCTTATTGCAGGTTTCATTAACTAGAAAGCTGATTTTTGTGCGTTACATTCATGTAGATTGAAAATGAAATTTAGAACAATGTGATGTTTTAAGTTTCATTCGTTACATCTTTGTTTGATGAAATAAATATCCAGTATGTTGCTGGCAGTACGATAAGATTCTTATTTCTACTCATTTATGGCGTAATAAAAATATATAAGTTAGGTCAGTTTTGATTTCAAATATAAGAGTTTGGGATAGAAAAGAATTGTCTAAACATCCAGACTTTTGAAACATTTCTCTAAACTTCCTTCAAGGTGTGAATGAGACTATACAAAAATAGTTTATCTGTGATTGGTATACGCATTGGAGGTGATCCATAAAATTTTCCAACATGAAATATTTATTCAAATAGAATATATAATGCAATTTGTAATGCTATATTGAACAATAAGTTGGTTAAACACTATATGAAAAAAGGAGTTTTTTCTCGCTTTGTTATTGCTCATTTCCTACATAGATCCGAAAAAATTGTTTTCATACTTAAACTCAAAGGAAAACTATCATAAAAAGTATTCCGTACATAAAACAGAAATTTTCCTAGTGAATTATGTATCATAAAGAAAATTTCAACTTAAAACAAGTACACAGAAGTTCACATAAATGTGTGGTTAGATTGTTTTGAAAGAGTGAAAAATGACATGCTGCGATTGTATCATAAATAAAAAGTAAACATATCAATGAGTTGATCTGAAATCTTTTATTAATATACTATAGATTATGAGCTGCAATCTGATGAAAATCAGATCATTCTAGTTGATCTAGTTTTTGGAATATTCATAAAATGAAATAATCTCATCTACTAGTTGGATAATTTTTTGATAGCCACTGTACTTGAAATTTAATATTTCAATATCGCCTCTCTCATTCACAAGGAGGAGATTTCGTGAAATCAATCAGAATATAATATATCAATATATTTAAATATAATAATGGGACACGTTCACATTACAATGCGTTCATAGAATGACAAATCGAGATATTGAAGAGATGAAATAGCAAAAAAAACCGGTAATGAATGGAAAAACTCTTGGCTCATTCAATCTATGAACGAAGCTATTTTGACAATGTAAAAATAATCTGAACTTTAACAAAAACATCTCATATATTAGATCAAACATAGAAAAATAACAAACATTTGTACATAGTTGCATTATATGATATTCACCACTTCGTTTTAGAATTTATTTACGTTCATCTCATATATAAAATCACCACCAACTTAGAATCCATATGAATTGAGAACAAAGTCATAAGAATTAACATCTACATATGTTATAACAATTCTGATCCTCATTCTTATTTTTTTAGTGGAATAGAAAAAGAAAACTTAAATCAATTGTGGTTATTCTCTCTTCCAGAAACATTTATATCGGAAAATGCTATATCGGGACAAGTCAATCTACATTATACAAAAGGAAATCTTTTTTTTTGTTTAAAAACTTCCACATAAATTATCGAATAATTTCATTTTGTCACAAAAAGGTAGATTGCTGCAAAAGAAAAAAAACTTTAAAGAAAGAGACCAACATAATAGAAGATTGAGAAGTGTATTAATCATCGAAAGTGTTGTGAGTGTGTGTGGAAAAGACTAACATACGACATCGACAAAAATCAAACAATGATTCTTAAGCCCCCCTCCAAAAAAAGTCGATTTTCCTCAAAGATTCCGAAATTGAAATATAAATACATGGGGAGATAGCCCATCTTCCGCTCTTTCAGAAATGGTATAGGTTTTTATCCCAAAACCCTTTTTTGGCTGAAAATCTTGAGGTTTTCTGTAAGTCCCTGCAGAAAAGTTTTTTTTTTATTGAAAAAAACGAATTTCAAGGTTTTTTCTAAAAAGTAAATATTTTGATAGATTTTAAAAATATTTTAATAATTTTTATAGAAAAGTCAAATCTCTAACAGAAAAAAATAAGAAATAAACTGAATAATAAACACGTAGAAAGCTTTATTAAAAAACCTTTAATATGAAAAATTTTCAAGAGCGAAGAAAAGCAAAACAAAGAAAAGTCATCGCAAACGATGTGTTCTAGTGTGATCAATACATTTCATAAGAATTAGTCATTTGTTACACTATTTTTATCTTTTCTTTCCTTCTCTCTGATAACAATGACACATCATAAATGCTGGTTTATTATATAGCGATACAATATACTTGTAATAAGTGTCCTTTTCAGTAAACAAAAAAGAATGAGACAATGTATAGTTATGTTAGCAGTACTTTTTCGAGCAAGTCGACCATGAAACTGTCGGTACAAGTAAAATAATTTTTTTAATTATGTTCAACATGCCATACAAGGTTCTAGTTATGCAAAATTGAAAATTATATAGATAATATAGGTCAGCTTCTTCAAATAAACGAAACAATTGCTAAAAATGATAAAATATTGAAAAATTTTTCGCAAAAATCTTTTTCGTTTTTTCTCAGTTTCCACTTTCTCAAAAGTGCATCCCAAATTTCTCCTTCCCGGTTCATTCAATGTATTAATATTTTTTTTTGTTTAAAAGAGCATCTCAAGGCGCAGGGCATGATGGGGCCATTTTTTTTAATTAAGCCTTTGTTTGGTCAATATACAGCCAGTTATATGATTTGGTTACCATTTTTTGACACTTTTTTCAGTAATTGAACTTGTGATCTCTT